CCCCCTCCTCCTCCTTTCAGCATAAGGTATTGAACTGGATTGTCAGGTATTTCCTATTTAGTAAAAATTATTTTTCAAAAAGCAGATTAATGTACTGGATAGTTTAGGTTTGTGAAAATAAGCCAACATATTATAAAAACTGCACTGTAATGATAAATGAACATTGTCAATTGATATGCAATATATATTTATGTATTTAAAAATTAATTATTTTTATTTCCTCCACTTATTGGTTCATTACTTGAGGCAAATCATGTAATAGTCTTACTTGCAAATGTTACTTAAAGTTGATAAAGGAAAAAGATAAATCACACAAAATACTTCTACTTTGCAACATGTGCATATTATTAGATTATGACCTTTTAGAAGGGGGAGTAGACTGTGTTTGATTCACTTATAATCCCTGCTCTCAGCAGTGTTTTCAATGTGGTGAGATTCACAGACCTGTGGGGTCAATGAATGGCTCTTTTTTATTTTAGCAAAATATGCATACCATAAAATTTATCATTTTAATGGCTTTCAAGTTCAATGGCATTAAACACATTCACATATTTGCATTACAGCACAGGTCCACTGTGCATTGCATCAAGAGAGGGGTCAAAAACAATCTCTGCTTTTTGTTGTGGAATGTCATTTGAATCATACTCTTTCCTCTGGATAGCTTGTTATTGCATTCCTGACTTTCCTTATTACTTACCTGGGGAAAACATATATTGAATATGAAAATGATAACGCTTGTCATCAGAGATCAGACCTTGTCAGTGTTCTCTGATGCCTAGTAGGACTACTGCAGAAAAAAAATATTAATGAGAATGTTGCTAGGAGACGGAAGAGACAAAAGCCCATGGTCTTGTAGGGGTTCCACTGGAAATCAAGACAATTTAAGTATGTTTCATATCAGAGGTTTAACCATTAAACTCTGTTCTTCAGTGAACACACACATTTTAGCATATAATGTTTAGCATGATGTTACGTTTGGGGGGGATTTTTGAGGAGAATCTTAAGGCATTTCATTTCTTTGCATTGGGCTAATCCCTTTTTCAGAGCACAGCTTATTTTCAAGTGGCTGTTGCGTTGCTGCTTTCCCCCACCCCTTCAGTGCGACAGCCTCAGAGCTGGTGGAGAGACAGAGAGCACGCAACTGGTAAGTAGCTGAGAAAGCGTTCTTAAAATAGTTACCAAGGCTCTGCTTTTCAAAGCTACTGACGTGTTTTGATGCAGTAGAAAAATACAGAGCTGTATAGGAATTTCTCAAGTCAGTGGCACTAAGAAGCTGGATTACATCACAAATATTCCATAGTCGCTTTTCCAGTTTAAACCTTATTTCTTGAATGGTGAATGAGTTGCTAGAAGGAAATAAAGAGCCTTCCCCTCATGATTCTGGTAAGATACTTCCCCAATAAGATTTATGAAGATATCACTAAAATGGGAAATTGCCTTCAGAAATGTATCTCAGCTCTATGTTTGGCTTAAACATGATGAAATGTGTTACATATCAAGATGTTGTCAGATCTGCTTTATTTTTTCAGTGTGTAGAGAGCATGAGAAAAATATTTTGCACTGGAGGAAAGGATGCAATGATATGTCTTTTTTCTTTTTTTAATTAAGAAAATTGTGTGACGAGCTGTTTGTATGGGAGAGAGAATGAGGGAGAGGGAAGCCTGTAATAACATTAAGATTGATTGCTTCATGTGAGAGATGAGCATGTGTTGAACTGCAAAGATTAGAATTCAACTTTAGGATGAAAAACTCTGAAAAAAATGACAAATATTTTGAGTGTGCCTTCATTGGAAAAAATCATTTGTATATTAGATGTCAATTTAGATGGTAAAGACAGAATGTTCTCAGTGGTTCTTTTTTTCTAAAAATGGATGTGAGTAGGGTAGCAGAGATTCCTAACAACACAGCTTTTATGTTTGTTTATGTTTTTGTAGACTGGTTTCTGCCAGAAAAAAAAATGTAGTGAAGTGATGTTTTTAAAATTTTCTTTGGAATTTGGATTGTTTTGACACTTCAACAGGAGGAAAGGAGAAAAAAATAGATTGGATTGGATTGAAGTTAGATGAAAGAGGAGCAATCAGAGGAAAAATAAAAATGGAAAAGCTTATTAGAAAGTCTACAAAACAGGTTCTTTCGCAAGTTGAACATGTCTGCTGGTAGCATGTTTTGCAGGGGAAAGGGAGAGAGTGTATTGAAGGCAGGGAGGGGGGCATCAGCAGAGCACTGCGGCAAAGAGAGTGACTGACGCATCTAGGGACATGTGACTGTTCTCTGGTGTAGTGAAGAAAAATTTCCAGGACTCCATCTTGTATAAGAAATTCTATACATACTAACACACAAATGATGCTGTCATCTTGCTGTGGCGCATAGTGAGTTCATGTTGTGTAATCTTCCATTGGTTGACATTGGTGCTTAATCTTTGCTATATTGTCTTTGTTCCTAGACTTTTTTCTCTGCACTTCCAGAGATTTTATATGCTTGTTAAAATGCTGTTTTGCCTTTTATTATAAAAATATTTTTGTAGAAAATTTGGAAAAATATAAAGACTATAAGAAGTACCCCAAATCCTATAGCCCAAAGGTAATTTCTATTAACCTAATTACTGTCAGTTTTCTCTAAATATATACATAGAAATGTATATTTTATATAAGATGAAGACTGTGTGTACATGCAGGTTTTATTCTGGTTTATTCATTAAATATATCTTGGGAGCAATTCCCCATATTTTAAAATATCCCTCAAGAGTGTGACGTCGTTTGGATGCCTAATTTGGATCATAAAGGAGTCTCACTAAATATCCAATGTTGAATGTATATGTGTGCATTATTTTGCTGTTGCAAATAATTTAAGGAACATTTTTTTCATATAAATCTCTGTGTGCTTTTCTGTTTTTTTCCCCTAGGATAAATTCAGATGTGGAATTCCTGGATCAAATGGTATGAACCAGTTTAAGGTTTCTTCTCCTGACCCAAGACATATTGCCTAATTTTTATATCATGTGGCAAAAACATTATTTTCCAGTCATTGTTTGTTCATTGATTTCTATCATTTATTGTGGTTGTTTTTGGCATTTTGCAGCTTTTATGGTTTTAGATTTCTACATCTGTCAATTGTTGATTTGGTGAGTTGTTTCCTGTGAAGCATTCACCTGTATACGTATCTACCTGTACTTTTCCCCTAGTAACTCAATTTCTTCATGTTTTACAATCAAGTCTTTAATCCATCTGTAATTCATTTTGATAAATGGTATAAAGTAGGGTCTAATTTTGTTTCTTTTCCAAATAGGTCGCCAGTTGTCTCAGCATTATTTATTGAATAATCCAACCTTCTTCCACTGATTTGATATAGCAACAGCTGTTCTCCCATTAGATAGGGTGTAGCTTTCCACAGGTCGGCCATTTTCTCTCAACCCAAGATGGTTACCATCCACAGTGTATTCGTACCTTCCCATAGCGCCTGGCAGCATACTAAAGCAACACGTTTGTGCTCTGCCTTTCAAGACCCCTAGGCACTTGCAGTTGTGGACAGTGGTTTTCAAACAGGATTTCTTTTTCATTTTAAATATTTTAAAATTTTATCTTTGTCACATGTTTTTTTTTACATTAAAAATTGAGGAATCCAGTTATATAAAACCACTGCTCTAGATGTGCTAGTCCCTTGGACACAACTAACAACCCAATTGTGTGTTTAAAAAGAAATAACTCCATGTGTGGGGGATCCTGGTAGTGTTAGTCCTAAGTTTCCTCCTTTCAACCTCTTTTTCTACTTCTCAGGTACTCGAAGAGTTAAAGATGTCTGGAGTCAGTGCCTGGAATTTTCTAGAATGGTATCAGAGGAAAAAGTAAGAAATGTATGAAGAGCAGAAATAACAATGTTTGTCAGCTTGTTGCTGGCAGTAGTATGCTCTAGTATTCAAAGGATGGAGGGTGAGTTCTAATCCAAGCTACCACTGTTATCATCTCTTCAAGATAGGGAGACACACCAATAATCCACTTCTTTTCACTGCAGATGGAAGGCTCAAGACATAAAACATGGAGCCTTTTAGTAGAAGGTGGGTTAAATATTGATGTAGAAATATTTGACAGTTAAAAAAAATTAACTGCTACCCCGTGCTGCACCCCCTGCCTGCAACATAGCCTTCTTTTTCTGTTGACTTCTGGCCCTGGCCTCTAGTCTTTACTGACTGGAAGGAAAAATGGGGTGAGTGGGAGGCTGCCTTGCCCACCTTTATTGCAAGGAACTTTGCCTCATAGACAGTCTCAGTCATTTCCCGACTTGCCACATTAGGCTGTGATTTGTTTATGACTGGAGGCTGGTTTCCCTGGCAACGGGAGCTCACCAGGGCATGCGCATCCACTCCTCTGCAGTAGCAGAATGCGGCTGTGGGGTGAGGGGAGGGGTCTTGGGGGCAGCGACTGCTGAAGGAGTTATTCCGCAGACATGACGTCAGTTTTTCTGTGTGAAGTGCCATAGTTATTGCGCACACAACATTGCGTTAAAAAACAGTCCTCAGAATGCTTTGAGCCTCTTCTTTTTACTTCCTTCTAAATTAGCTGCATTCAGTATTTTCACCAGTGCCTACAAAATCTCTCTAATGGCCCGTTGCCCCTAGGGCCCCAAGGGGATCCATATAGTGTGGGTACAGGAAACAGACTGCCATATTTCAAAATACAACCATTTGTTGATTGTATGGCCATGGGACAGTTACTTAATCTCCTTGCCTCAGTTTTCTCATATGTAAAATGGGGACTTTTAGAACAGTATCTGGTATATAGTAACCATTAAAAAAGTGCTGTCTGTTGTTATTTGTAGATATTAAGGGAGACTTGCCTGGAACAGACTTGCGCCTGCGTGTCCAACTATCCCTCTAATGCCTACAGCTGTCCAGAGAGCATGCATTTCTCCTGCAGCATGTGGACTCCTCCCTAGCCTCCAGTCATGTCCCCAGGTGCCTCCATAAGAACCAGTGGAGGAAGACTTGCCCTATAGCACAGGGACACTGTCCAGTTCACTAGACTCTCCCAGAGTCTCACACATGCTCTCAACACAGAGACCTGGCTAAGAGGTGCTGACCTGCCCACATAACAGACTTCTGACACCATTAAGACTCTACCCATGACACACAGACAATCCCAACACCAGAGACTGGCTCCACATCACATAGACCCTGCCCAGGACACACAGACTCAACTCATAGAACACAGATTCTCCCTGCAGCACACAGACTCTCCTCATGGTACATCATGCTCCTATGCATGCCCCATTGACTGAACCTAAGCTCATAGATGTCTTATAGCACTCAGACTCCCCTCACGTCATATCTACCCTCTCAAGGCCACACAGCATATAGACTCTCCTCACCTCTTGGAAGCTCACCACAGAAGAGGATGCTGCCCACAGCACACAGAATCACTCTAGACCACACAATCTCCACAGAATGTAGACTTTCCCTCCAAACACAATCTCATGACACAGCTCAAAAAGCCACCCCATGCCACTAAAGACTCCCATGAGACACAAGACTCACTGCATGACACACAAACAAGTACCACAGAACACACACTACCCCCAAGAGGACACAGAATCATCCCATACTAAGCAGACTCTCCCTTGGTTATGAATGCTTACCCCATGAAACACAGACTCAACCCATGTTACAGAGACACTACCCACAGCACTCAGGCAGGCTTTTCCCGCCATGCGCAGATGCCACAGTACACCCTGCGGCATGTATGTCACGCCTGGATGCACAGCATTGCACCACAGCACAAAAACTTGTCCTCCAGTGCACCATTCATTTCCCAACAGACATGCCAACCACACAGTGCACACACTTGCCTTATAGGCACACATCTGCCCTACAACATCTGGGCCTCCCTCCACAGCCACAGTTACCACAAGACACACATTGTAGCTCTGTGCCACCAAAATGCAGCCCAGTTCCTCAGATACATCACAGCATGCAAACTGGCACTACAGTGGACAGACTTGTACCACAGCAGACATTCGTGCCTCAGCACCTCACCTTTCTCTAAAGCATTCAGGACGCCATCACATGTGTGACCCACGGTACCCTCACTCAGCCCACACCGTAGATGTAAAAGCCTACGACATGCAGGCACCTCCCTCAGCAAGAAACCTCACCCCCTCAACACTTAGAATTATGTCACAGCACATATCTGCTGTACAGCTTCATGTCACAAAGCCATATTTCTTATAGTAGATACACAGAACATATGCCCCCAAACACATGAAACCATTTGCCAGGTGACCCAGATTTACCACAGAGCACCCAGACTGGTTTCACTGCTCACACTAAGGCCTACACAAACAAGATGTGCCCCACCATGCTCCACAGTTCTCCCATCAATGTACATACTTGCCTCCCCACTCATATGGATGCTGCTGAATATCGGGACTCACCCTAAGTGTACAGACAAGCCCTTTGAGACAGAATTACCCCATTCCGTACACAGATCATACACACAACACTTAGACATGCCTTCAAGCTCCCAAGCATGCCTATAAACACATAAGTTTGTTTCATCACACATAGAATCACTCCAGAGTACAAAACCTACAATATAGAGAAGCATTTCCCACTGTGTAGACATGCAGCACACACATCATCCCTCCTTTGCAGAGATTTCTGTCCTAATGCACACACATGCTTTGGTTACCATACTATTGGCCTACAACAGAGATACAGCTTGTGTAATGGTTAAGAGCAAGGCCCGTGGACCCAGACCACCTGGGTTTGAATGCAGATCCCCATTCTTGCTAATTGTGTCACCATGGGTAAGTATATTTTTTTCTTCTTTGGTTACTCACCTGTAAAACCAAGATAACAGTAGTGCCTACTTCAAAGTTCTATTGTGAATAATAAATGAATGAAGATATGTTAAGTGCCTAGTTCAGTGCCTGTTGCATAGGAGCAGTTAGAATTGTTACTTTATGTTTCAATCACCACCCCTTTCCACCACCACCATCACTAGTAAAGCAAAAAGGGCCTATCCCAATACCTGCCATCATTGGACACAAACATTCACCACATAATACGTAGACTAGCCCTGGAGCATCTAGAAAGAGAGTGCAGCACATAGACACCTCATCATAACATCCTTACACCCTGGGGAGCACAGCAGAACCCTAAACCAGGAGCCACTCACAAAGTCCAGAATTGCACTGAAATTAAAAATTTTGTTATAGCAGTGCACAGGCTCATAGACCAAGTTCACAATGTGCAGATGCATGGCACTCAGCCTTACCTCACAGAGGCAAAGACCCCAACATACATCCACACTCCCTAAACTCATAAGTATATCCTATATCACACAGACACACTCTCCTATACACAGATTTTTGTCCCATAACATATTGAGTCCCCAGTTGTTCACCAACATATTCCTAAGTTCATATTCCTAAATTTACAGCATAACATTATAATTGCAGAACCCTGGTCCTGTAACACATTCACTTACTCCTATGTTATGCTTGACCCATAGATAAGTATACCCTATATGTACTAACTTGCCCATAAATCTGGCACTACCGTACATATGACCACATGCCCCACATCATACAGATTTGCCATGCTATACCATGCAGAGATACCCCCTAAACACAGGCCCTTCCTAAATACACAGTATCACATCACAATGTACACACATCGCAGAATTGCATTAAAACACCCACATCTTGCAGAATTGCATTAAAACACTCACACAAAGTAGAGGCAGGCAGACACACAGTACTCAGGCTGGCACAAGGCCAAGACTAGTCTCAACTCACCTTAAATAAACCCATATAATGCAGAACTTAGCCCACAAAACCTAGAGTCTGTGTGGTGGAAAACTTGTACTCAGAACCCTCAGCTGCCTGGCTTCCAATCTCACATCATTACTAATTTTGTCACCTTGGAAAGGTTTCTTGACTCCTCTGTGTCTTACTTTTCTCATCAATAAGCAATAATAGGGGTACCTATGTCATACAACTGTTAAGAGGAATAAATGAGTGAATGCCTTTAAAATGTTTAGCATGATACCTGGTAAAGAATTGGCATTATTGATGTTAGCTCATCTTCGTATTGTTACTGTCATTCTTCATGCATGGAGCTGGACCATGACGGTAAGACTCAATCTGAAACAACTGGAAACATCCTACTGCATGAAGAGTATCCCCCATAAATCCAAGAATCACATCACAACTCACCCCTCTTTCCTTACACCTATTTTGACTGCACCTAGCCTACAGCACCTACAAGCATTTACCAGTCTCTGCACAACACCTAGACTCATCACACAATTGGATATACACTGTAGGATGTACAAAGATAGCCATAATACATACACTCATCCATATAAAAACTCATCCCAGTTCAACTAAACACTCCACAATATACATGCTCACCTCAGAATACCATATTGGCTCTTTGACACAAACAATCTACAACACATAGACTTCTACAGAATATAGAAGCGTATCATGCTATATAAACTTGGCTTCACAACACAACGAACCAGGATGTGTCCCCCACACACATATTCTCCCTGTAATGTACATATTGATTTAACCAAACACTGTGTTGCCTACACAATGCCAAGACTTGACTCATGAACAGATATGTTGGTTGACAAACATTAAACATCTCTCAATGAACACACATGCCCCATAATACACAGACTTGCTCCGCCACACACAGACACCCCCATGTCATCTAGGCTCAACTCACAACTGCATACTGACCCACAACATGCAGCAATAGCCTTGGAAAACAGTCTCTCCCTACCACACACACAGACTGGCCACATTAAATACCTCTTCCTGCCACAACCTCCCTCCCAGCAGCACATCCTGTGAAATATCATTCACAGCAAAACACAGTGCACAGATATGCCCCACCCACAAGGCTTACTACAGAAGACCCAGACTTGCCCTGGAGCTCTCAAATCCACTCCACAACATACAGACTTACACTTCAGATGCCACAATAGCCTGCCAATCAGTAGTCATGCTCCACAATCCATGGTGAACCATAACACACAGGTGCACCTCACAACACGTGGGCATCCACAGACTCTACCATCAGCACAGATGGGCTTCCTGGAATGCTTTCCAGACCTAAACTAGTATAGAAGAAATGTTGAAAAGCACACTCCACTTCTACTAGCCTTGCTGCATGGTACCTGGATTCATCTGAAGCACACAGATTTGTCCTGTCAGATACAAAATGGCCCCCCTTCACCCAGACCAGCTCCAGAACACCCAAACAGGAGTCATAGAACACAAACATACCTTCAAATTCTTCCCACAAAATAATGACTGATCTCATAGAATATCTTTCTGCACAACACCAACACTGGCCTTCAAGCACACAGAGATGATGGATGATACACAGGCACTTTCTACAATAACAGATATTTTTCACAATATAAAGACTTGCTGTAATATACTCACACGTGCCCCTATCCTAACAGAATTATCCCCATGAGAACTGAACTCACCTTGTGACACCCAGGCCTTCCCCTAAATGCATGGATGTGTCCCATAATACATATAATCCCCAGGAAACATAGATTGGACCTGAAAAACATAGGTTTTTGATTCCATAGCACCAAGACTTAGAGAAGAACACATACAAATTTTGAACAAAATGCACATAAAACACCACGATGCATAGACATGCCCAATGCCAGAGTCACCCCATTACAGCCTCACTGTAGCACACCAACCCAGAGACTTGCCTAAGATGGGCCAGCGCAGGAGGTCCAGACTTGTTCCACAAAGCCCTGAGTGCTCCTTGTCAACCAGACTTACTTTGCAGTAGCCAAGCTGGATCTGTAATAACCTGACTTGTCCTATTACCACCAGACTGACATGGCAATATCAAGATCACCTACACAGCACATAGAAAAACCCCCTACAATGTTTTCTTGTCTCCACAATTCTGAGACTTTCCTCACAACACACAGATGCTGAAAAGATAAAATCTGAAACAGTAGGACTTACCCCCATAACACCCAGATTTCCACTTAACACCCAGAATGGCCCTGAATAAACCCAAAATACACCACCACAAGCACACCTGCCTTGCAACGCCAGGCTGTACCTGTCATATGGCATACTCTAGAATTCACAGATTAAGACATGGCCTCAGCACACATAGGATTGTTGAATAACACATACAAAAAACCCACTTAAATCACAGATACATCCCATAACACCCAAAATGATGTCATAAGACTCAAGATGCACCCGTCACAACTATATTCACCCCCAAACACCTGGACCTCTCCATCACACTCAGATTTGTCCCACAATACATAATAATGGCCCTTGGTCAAAAGAATCTTCACAACCCACAAGTTGGCCATAAAATACCCCATCTTTTTGCCTTTGCTATATCAAGACTGGCCTCACAGCACACAGAAACAGTGAGCAAAACACAGAACACCCCCAGTGCATGGTGTACCTCATAATCCCCACATTCACTCTGTACGACGAGCCCAGTGACACAGAGATAATCCCCACAATAGACAGACATCCTCAAAATCTATGAACTAATTCCACAACATACACTGTCCCCATAAATGCCTCTTTTGTTTCTAGAACAGAAATGCTAGCTTCACAGAACAGAGAGAGGCTGGGCAGCACACATGCAATTAAAACCCCTTAGGCATAGTACTCATCATCCAGGTTTATTACACAAGGAAAGAACTTGTCTCATGACATTCAGATCTACCCTACAACGCCAGACCAGTTCCATAAAATCTCACTTCTATGCCACCAAGCCTTGTTTCACAGCACAAGTCTGCAGTGCTAGAGAATATAGAGACAAAGCCCTAATATACACAAATGTCACCCAACTGCACTCTACAACTTCCTGATTTGCCACAGAACGTCCATGTTCCCCCAACTACCCAGACTGGCCTCATAGCACAAATTACATTCTCCATATGTACTTTCCCCACACAAATCAGCCCTGTAAAGATCTTTCTTTTGCAATATGTTTTCCTCTGATCTCACAACCTACAGGAAAAAACCCTCAATGCACATATGCACTGTACAACAACTTCTTGACTTGTCTCACAACACACAGCAGGGATTAAAACAGACAGAAACATCTCTCAGTACACACATAGACACCAGTACTCACTTCATATTACAGTCTCACAAGGCAAGATCCATACTGGCCTGGCAGTATACAGACATATCCCACCACACACAGATATGCCCACAAAGACCCAGGTGCTCCCCATAACACATAATAACCCAACAAAATATTTTGAGATTCCATAATGCACAGTTTTGATTTATATAGCATATGTAAATGCTGAAGCAAACCAGCAAATCCTATACTGTCCATAAATGCTCCACTAGTTGAAGGCTTGTTGGCAAAATATTCGAACTTACTCCATGGCATACAGATTTGGCTCATGAAGCCATACTCACCCTGGATCACAGAGACTAACCTAACAGCACTCACACATCCCCAAGATAAGCCCTACAAAATGACTCCTTGCCTTCATTACACCAAGGCATACCTTGCAGTACACAGAAAGGATGGGCAACACATACAAGTCACACAAGAGCCATGCCCACAGGACCCAAACTTCCTGCACAACACTCATACTGGGGCACTCATACTCACCTGGTAGCACTGATTATTCCACAACATACACACACAACCCAGCATGTACAAGCATTTCCTCCATAGCACTCAGACATGCCTTACAATGTAGAGTCAACCCTCACAACTTAGACTGTCCCCAAGTGATGCAAAGAATTTCAGAACACTGCAGAGTTCTCTCTATAATGTCCAGACCACCCTCACAGCACCCCAAATTGCAGCAAAACATACACTCAATCCAGAATATATTGCTTCTCCTACCACTCACTCCTCTAGACATCTTACATTGCACAAATGGGCTTACTAAGATACTGGTGCCTCAGGGACATGGTATTACACAACAACTTACAGACATTTCTCAGAACAGACACTCATGGGGAACAGACACACAGTATGCAGTTACATCTGCAAACACACAGCCTGGCCTCCTTGCCCTGCCAGCATATTCTTGGCCAGCAGCTCTAGGACATGTCATAGAAAACAGGCTTGTCTCACCAACACATGAATCTTTCCTAGCTTCCAAATTTGTTCTCCAATGCCCAGACTTCTGCCTCTATGCACAGTGTGAGCCTACAATACAAACTTCTCCACAAAACAAATAACCACTTTGCAATGCATGGCAACCACCAAATACTACCCCAAACACAGACATGCTCCACAATGTCAAGGAACATTCCACAGCTTCCATAGGAACCCTGCAATTCTCAGACTCTCCCATAACTTCCACACCAACCACAGAGTACCTAGACTAACCTAAGATGTCACACATGTTTCATGACATGACTCCCAGAACAGTCCATAGACTCCCACCATCATGTACAACTCTACCTTACAATGTAAAAATTCACAAAATGCCAAGACTCATCCCAGAGTGCATCCTATTACCGTAACACCTAGATTTGCCTCAAAAGTGAGCTCTACACCAGAATCCTACAGAAATGCATCAAAACTCCTACATTGAACTTCTAATCAAAACACTTGCTCCAGAGTGCCTGCATTCAAATACCAGGACGTGACCTACAACCTATAGGTAAGTTCCACAATGCCAAAAATCTCTATAATGCACAGCCTTACTCTAAAACCTACAGTTACCCCATTGTAGCAAGAACAAATCCCAAACATCCAGCAACACTTACAAATTGTCTTGCCATACAATACTAAGACATGTCTTAGGGTGCCCAAACTAGCTCCACAGTCAGTAGATACAACTTAGAGTAGGAAGATGTACCCTGTTGACAGAAGGACTTTCTCACAAACACTAAATTGCTTCAAAATGCATATAATCACTCTGTAGTGTAAATACTCCTCAAAGAAAACACATGCCCTTCCACACCCAGAATTGCTCTGGGACTGACAGGCTTGGCCTGCAGAATCAAGACCTACCCCATATTGTACAGATACATTGCTCACCAGACATGGGTTTTATAGCCAATTCTCACCCCACAAGTCACCCTTAACCTACCCCCTAGATATAGTCTACGATGTGCATCCTCACCCTAACAACACTTTGGCAAACTTGCCAATGAAAAGATACATCCTATACTGCACCTTGAAAATTTATGGACATTTTCCATAGTCCCGGAATTACCATGTCATTTTTAGACTACCCCCAAGTGCAGACTCACTCTACAACACCTAGAATCCAGTCACAGCAAGTAGACCCAGCCAGTATTAGATTTTCCCCACAATGCACTCATGCTCCATGACACTGACTCATACAGCACCCAGAATCTCATCCCAAACTCACATCACCCCACAACATCAAAACATGACCCACAATATGCAAAAATGTACGTGAAAACAATATACAACAAGGCCCACAATGTATAGCCTTGCTGCCACTCAGAGAAACACCCTGTGATGCACAAACGTACCTTCAAAATAAACCATCACCCCCAACAAAGACTTACAACCAAGACACACTTAGTTACATATGGAGTCACAACACAGAGAATCTTTTTTTGGGGGGGGATGGGTACTGGGTACTTTACTTCTAAGCTATATCCCCAGCCCTTTTTATTTTGAGAGAGGACCTCACTAAGTTACTGAGGCTGGCCTTGAACTTGTGATCTTTCTGTTTCAGCCTCCCAAATTGCTGGGATTACAGACTTGTGCCACTATACCTAAATAGAATTGTATATTTTTTAAAAAAAATTAGTTGTAGATGGACACAATATTTTATTTATTTATTTTTATGTGGTGCTGAGGATCAAACCCAGTGCCTCACACATGCGAGGCAAGAGCTACCACTGAGCTATAACCTCACCCCTAGAATTGCATATTTTTTATATATTTTTATATAACTTTGTTTATTTATATGTGGTGCTAAGAATTGAACCCAGTGCCTCACGCATGCCAAGCAAGTGTGCTACCGCTGAGCCACAGCCCAGAATTGCATATTTTTTTAAAAAACTTTTTTTGTAGTTGTATATGGATAGCATTCCTTTATTTTATTTGTTTATTTTTATGTGATGCTAAGGATTAAACCCAGTGCATCACACATGCTAGGCAAGCCCTCTGCCACTGAGCTATAACCTCTGCCCTAGAATTGCATCATACTGCAGACTGGACCTACAATACACAGTGTGTCTCCACAGTACAAACACACACTCCATCACATCCCAGACTTTTGCCTACTGACCCAAACTTTCTTTACAATAATAAGACATAACCCACACCACATCTGAAATTAGTCTATATCATACAGACTCACCCCATGGTGCATAGAATTGGACCACAACCTCTAGAAACACCACTGTGTGCAGCCAGAATCTCACACTGGAGGGATTTAACCTCTCAAAAATGTGCATTCCCCATAAAGCCCAAACGTACTTTAATGTACAAAAAATAAGCAATATTACACAGATTTATTATGGGATCTCTGAAATCAATCTGTGAAACGTAGTCTCACCCTATGACTTCAAGCCATTTCCCACAATATATAGACTTAACTGTGTGAACCACAGTCTGCAGACCTGCCCTGCAGGGTGAGGACGGTTTCACAGTTCATAAACTCCCTAGGAGTACTCGTGAGTGCATCCAAAATACTATAACAATAAAAGTCATGGCACCCCAAATCACTCCCACAAAACAGACACCAAATCAAATGCCCCAGAACTCACAAGCCACATGATTCATAGAGTCAGCCTACCACTACTTCACCTCAGGCCATCTATGCTTGTCTCTTTGAATGTAGAGAATAGCATCACAATGCATGCACAGACCACCACCACAAAAAATTCCTGCACAGAATCTGCAACTCACTGACATTTCAAGCTGCCCACATACTTGCCAGTAATGCTTAGAGCCACTTTCTTATCAGATTCACCCCTTGACATTAAAGACTTATCACCCCCCAATGCATAGACCCAATTCCTGATGCAGGAGAGACTTCATTTTAAACAAAAATATTTTCTCCATCACATGATTGACCTCACCAGACTCATCCCATTATATCTAGCCTTGTGCCATGACACAGAGACATGTCATTTAACCCAGAAATTAGCACCAGAGTATTCAGATTAGCCCTGTAGTCTTCGGAGACTCAATCCCTAGACTGCACCATGATGCAGAGAAGAGCTACCCACAGGGAGACATAATGCATAACATACATACTCACCCCACAGCAAAGAAACTTACCCCACATTTTATAATACCCAGGCCTATTAGAGTGCTCAGAAGGCCATACAATACCTAGAGAAGGGCGTGATGGGTGTGCTCACACTAGAACATTAAGTCACTTCACGAGGCCAAACTTCGTCTTATATTGATTCCCAAAGGACAAGCAAGTCATATTGCTCCTTAGGATCTGAACAGAGGACCAACGTGCTCACACAGAGCTTTGGCAAGTGACTACACTTCCTTGAGTTCATCTGCCCATTTGTCAACATGTATGAAATCCTTATGCTATTAAGGATTAAATGAGATTGTTTCAGGAAAGAACTAAAGTTCAGAATAAAGCCTTTGAGGGCTGACATGCCTGCCTCCAGTCCCAGATCCACCACTTCCTGGTGCTGGAAGCTGTTAGGTAGTTGGAATAGTCTGTGGTAGAGTATGAGGAATATGAGTTTGCTGAAGTCAGACCTGATTTTGGATTCAGTCCCTTCCATTTATTGGCCTTATGACCTTAGCTGAGGCACTCTAATTCTCTGGTTCATAGTTCCTCATTTGCAAACTGAGAATGATACTGGTTCCTGCCTCCAAGACTGTGGTACAGATTAAATAATACCTGGCACCTTAATCTTAACTTTCAGCCAAAGGACAGTAGAGTGGGGAAGGCAGAAGCAACTTTGGAGCCCTTTTAACAAACAAGCCTGATGAAGCAGGAGGCGGCACGTAGGCCCTACTTCCAGCCAGAGGTGAGGAGGAACTAAGGTGCATGCTGGCATCTTCACCAGCAGTGCTCTGACAGGAATCTCAATATCTGAGCAGCTACTTGTTTTTTTTATCTTTAGATAATAAAAAAGCTTGTGTTATCAGACTAGTTACTATATTCAGAAATCAGTATTTTTCAGAGGAGGCTGTAGTTTTATTTTGCTGACCACTTCAAGAAAAGGAAGAAAAATTTGAGCTCCTCCTGCTGGCTGTACCTTAGAAAAGCAAGTGTATAAGTGATCAGAAAAGTCTTCCTGGAAGAAATTCCCCCCATCCATTCATGTTCATTCATCATAGACAAGTACATATACCCTACAACACACACACACACACACACACACACACACAACTTACTAATAGTACCACAGATGTTTATATTGACGCATCTACACAAAGACTTACTAATATAAACAGTCTTAACCCATATACCATACATTCGCACATATTTACATAAATATGAACATAAACTCTAAAGTACCAACAGGGGATGTGTGATTTACACAAGATACACATGTGTAATACACAGACATGCACACAGATTCCCATAATCTTTATGTAGGCATATAGCAGTATATAGTCTGAAACACTTGACTCGTACAGACGCAGGGAAGCACACAGAGAGCATCCAGAGGATGTGTTTACTTATTCCTGACCTCTAAGATGAGAAAACATGTGTACACAAAAACACATAAAAAACATGTTGATGCTCCTAGAGGCACAAAGCACAGATATCTTCTCAGAAACTCCCAGCTGTTCAGGTGGAAATGTAGATAACCACATAGACACATATGTATTTGCATGTGTCTACACATACCTGTAGACAGATGTATAGAATCATTCATATGTAGATACAGGTGTATGTGTCTTTACTGATATTCATAGACATTTAAATAATCATTCATAAGTGATAAAGATAAGGACTAATATAGTTTTGAATATGTATGTACACATATGCTCACAGTCACAGATATACACACAGAGATATAAATTATTAAAACACACATGCATAAGCATGCTCATACCCACATACATAAGGGCTTGTGTTCACTATTAAGAATATGAATACACACATGTATGGTAATGCACATGCATATGGGTATACTTATGGACATACACAAGAACATGGTAGTACACATGTACATAGGGACTCATGCATGCACCCACAGACAAAACAGAGACACACATGAAGAGACATCTACATTCACACACAGACACAGTAGTATATCCATTTAGAACATATACATACAAGCACTTACATCTATGCTTAGAGAGAGAGACATTTAGCAGAGTCACATACAGATGCAGATCCATGCTTACAGAAACATCCACTTATACATAGAGAAACAGACTAAAAGACAAAAACAGACCAAAACACATCTATAAGGTCACATTGACTCACATACACAAGAAGAGAATGCCAGGTTATGTGAATGTCTAGAAAGACAGATACATTCACAGAGGCACAGGCATGTTCACGGAGACAAGAGATGTACACATACCCATACCCATGTATACTCACTCAGAGGTGGACACAGAGACTTGTACAGATGCATAAGAAAAATACAGATTTATTATTATGCAGACTACCACTGAATATGCACATATATGTGGAGACCCGTAAACATTTACCTATACAAACATACTCATAGAAATATGCAGGTCTGTTGGCCTGTGCTCATAGATGTGAAAGTGTGTACACCCACAGAGAAAGAGTTCAACATACATTCACAGACACATACTGGTACACACACTTGTGTGTGTACTCATACATATACATGCAAACATAGATGGGTATACATAACGGAGGCATGCACAAATAAACCCCAGTACAGAAAGCTATGTATGTACCAAAGTCTGCAGTTCCCACACGTACTGAGTCCTCACATGCACAACAACATTCTACATACACACAGCTGCACTTGCTCAGAGACTCTTTGAAGACATTAATTTGCATGCAGACAGATTTATATTCAAACATACACATATGCTCATAGACAGCAGATGGTCTCACAGGCATACACACACCAGGTGGATGAACACATGGATAAACACCAAGGCTTACACACGTGAATATAGAAGCTCCTAGTCATGAAGAGAAGTACAGGCAAGAATATAAAGGTACAGATGTGGAGACTCACACCCAGACATACACATTATGTACATGCAGATGCATAGAAATGCAGAGACTCACACAGAAGAATATTTGCAGCCAGTTAACATGGGGATCAAACAGGTCTACACAGACACAGATGTCATCTTATAAGTATGGATTCAGCAATAGATAAATATAGGTACAATCCTACATATTTACATACATATTCACCCTCTTACATGGTGATGCACTCAGAACCTCTTGCAGACACATGCACACAGAGCTCTATAAATGCACTTATATAGACACACAAATGCACATGCAGATGTACACTTACATGTCATGCCTTCTCTCAGAAAGACCAAGGTAGATCACACTCTGAGCATATGAAAGACATACATATATGTCTATACATAGTACATACCTAAACACATTCGAAAGTGTACACATACAGACATCCATACATACAGATGTGCACACTCACATACCAACATATACATACATTGACACACATAGTCAGACACAATGATCTGTAGATTTACTCATATGCTCATAATGGTACACAAGTTCTAAATGTATGTTAAGTATATGAAAACACATAGACTTACATGTGCCAGAGTAGCTATGTAAGTCCTCAAAACAGAAACACAGACTTACATGCACAGAGACACATGCAGATTTATACTTATAAAAACACAAACATCCAGGGGGCACAGTGGCACATGCCTATAATCCCAGCAGCTCAGGAGGCTGAGGCAGGAGGATCACGAGTTCAAAGTGAGGCTCTAAGCAACTCAGTGAGACCGTGTCTCTAAATAAAATACAAAATAGAGCTGGGGATGTGGCTCAGTGATTGAGTGCCCCTGAGTTCAATCCCTGGTACCCTCCATCCCCCCCCCAAAAAAATTTAATCACATGTAAGAGACATACAAATACTTTTAAAGGAAGCTGTGACTTAAAAAAAGATTATTTTTTAGTTGTAGTTGGACACAATACCTTTATGTTATTTATTAATTTTTATGTGGTACTGAGGATCGAACCCAGAGCCTCAAACGTGCTAGGTGAGTGCTCCACCACTGAGCCACAACCCCAGCCCCTGGAAGTTGTGACTTTTAATGAACCTTAGTCTTAGCATCTTAAACAAAAACTGAAAATTGTCAAGCCCCTCAATTGACTACACTGTATAAAAGTAGATCAGAAAGATCATACACAGAATCAGAGATCACATGGAAGCACAGAAATATCATCCAGTACGTAACCAAATATAGAAAGATACACACACACACACACACACACACACACACACACGTGTGTGTGCACAAACAGCACCAAAATGTCACATTTTAATATTTAAATGCAGAACATTTTCATCCCAGAACTGTCACTTACTGTCTCATTGATTTAGGGTCATTTTTTGTTTTTGCACAGGTAACATAGGGGTAATCTTGGCAGCTATTGTTCAGAGTCGTTTGAAGATTCAGTGAAATCAAGGGATTAACCTTACCGTTTGGAATGTTATAGATGTCGCTGCTGCTGCTATTTTTAAATTTTGTTAGAGCCAAAGTACTTATCTAGATAGGATTTGATTTTTATGGTCAAACTGCATGATTTTATTATATTGATTTATTAATTAACTTTATTTGTAAATGTTCTAATAAAGAATCATTTTAATGTATTAATAAAAAAATGTGGGGCTGGGGTTATGGCTCAGTGGTAGAGCACTTGCCTCGCATATGTGAGGCACTGGGTTCGATCCTCAGCACCACCTAAAAATAAATAAATACGGGCTGGGGATGTGGCTGAAGTGGTAGCACGCTCGCCTGGCATGCTTGTGGCCTGGGTTCGATCCTCAGCACCACATAAAATAAAATAAAGATGTTGTATCCGCCAAAAACAAACAAACAAACAAAAAATAAATAAATAAACAAACAGAATAAAGATAGTGTGTCCATGTATAACTAAAAAAATATTTTTGAAAAAGAATATATTATATTCACAAATAAGATTATTTCTGAAATTCTCAAAGGTGATAAGGCTTTCTTCCTGTCCCTGGAAAATGGAAAGACTTGAAACAATTATTTCCTGTCATTATTATTTGTTGTTGTTATTACTGTCTTTAGCATTTTTTTTCCTTTTTGCAGAAGCTGGAAGATTGAGAGTGGGAGAGAGAGGGCTTCGTGCCAAGTGCACACTTGCCACCTAGTGACCATATTGAGTAAGTACAATATTTGTGCATTGGTCTAAACTGTCCAAAGGTTGTGTAACCATACTGGTGAATAAGCTAGAAAACATCATGTTATAGGGGTTTCTGCTATATCCTGAAATTAAAAAGCAGTCATAAAAATGAACTTCTTTGAAAATCTCATTTCCCACACATGCCCCAAATTTGTATTTGGGTTTCACAAGTGATATGTTCTACAGCATGTTTTATTTGCCACCTAAAATCATTTTAAGAAACCGTATTCCCATTACATTCTTGTCTTAAAATTAACACCAGATATTTACTCTAAGTTTAAACATTTGCAGAGTTATAATTTCTTACCATATTGTAAGTACTTGTGGTTTTAAATAAAATGATTTCATCATATGTTGCATTGTTCAGTGAAATAAAAATGCTGTACTAATTTGAATTTTATCATTGTTGATTTAAGGAAAAATACAAGGAAATAGGTCTAATTTAGTCATCAGAAATTTATATGATTTTCCCATGTCCTTGAAATAACCATTCCATTCAACTTCCTTCACATAATTTATTCTAAGGTAATATATTTTTATGTTAAAAGGCCTTTTAATGGTCTCCTTATAATACATCTCTATAGAAAATATATAAGATGAAAAAATTTCCCTGTAACTCTAAGCCTCTTAAGTTCTAAAAATTTTTTCATTAAATTATTAGTACCAAACAGTTGATCAGAAGAACATAAGATATCATACATTTTGGTAAGTAATTACTAAAATGGAAAGTAGAAGTGGTTGGAAATGCATCTCTTAAGTAAATGTGACCTTATTTTTCCCCAAATTAGTTTATGACTCTGAAAATGACTATTATTTCTAATAAGACAGAATGCCATATTTTTTTCTTATTTTTCATTTTTACAGATAGAAGAACTCAGATAACTTTGAGTTATCTGAGAAAAGAAAAGGAATGAGTGTATAAATTATAGGTCAAAAATTACAGAGTGACCTATCATCAAAAATAATTTTTCTCTAGGTGCAGTGGTGCATGCCTGTAATTCCAGTGACTGGGGAGGTTGAGATGGGAGGTTAAGAGGTTCCAGGCTAGCCTCAGCAACTTATCAAGACCCTGTCTCAAAAAATAAAAAAAGGACTGGGGATGTAACTCAGTAGAAAAGCACCCTGGGTTCAATCCCCAGTACCAAAAAATAAGATAAAATAAATTTTAATGTCTTTAAATTTTTAAAATAAAATTTATGTGAATTTTATTTTTAAATAAAATTTTAAAGTTTAAATGGACAGCTTGATTAGGTCCATTTTTAATTCCATGAAAGCAAAGAAGGAAGCCCTCTAATTTACTAAAGGATTTGTTGCAGAACCATTTACATTTTCAGTTTCCAGAAGCTTACCAGAATGGCTTTACTAAGATTTATCAAATGACCATTATATCTGTTATACTTTCATTTTGAGGCAGTATTCTTAATCCACTATAATTAAAAAAGGTTGGGAAGATCAAAATACTTAGATCAATATGTATTTGCCAATACAATAATTTTTATAAAATGCCTTTGACTTATTGCATCCTTTAAGTATAAAAACTTGCTGCAGATTTGAATCAACAATATTATAGAAAATATTTACAATTTAATTGGCAAAGGCTATGTTCATGTCAAAATAATCAGCCAAATCAGATTTATTTCTAGAAAAAAATCTGGCTCTATTTTTTAAATGAAAATATATCAAGATGCATTTTGATGATCAGCATTAAAACCACAGAGAAATCATTAGGGAATATCTCTTGTTGAATAAATAACAAAGTGAATATAAGATTAAAATAATAATGAGGTATTTATCCACTTCAAAGTAAATTAAGAAATTGAATACTAATTTCATTTCTGGCATGTAATTTTTTTATTTTAATTTTATTTATTTATTAAATACACAATAATAGTGGAATGCATTACAGTCATTATTACACATAAACTGGCATGTAATTTTGTTTATTTGTTTATTTATTTTTGTGGTGCTAGAGATTAAATCCGGGGCTTTGCATATACTAGGCAACCATTCCACCACTAAGCTGCAGCCCCAGCCCCTGGTATGTCATTTTATATTAAACAGTAAAATATTTAGCAGATATTATAAGACAGATGAAACAAGGAATCTGATGGCAAGTACAGTTTCCTTTGGTAAATATGTATACACATGTTTTTAGAACACTAGTGTTGGGTTTCTGGGAATAATTAATTACATATAAAAATATTTTAAGTCCATGAATTTTGTTAGAACACAGAATCAAACTTTTCAGCCATATTTTATGAAAGAAGAAAGTATATATTGCTAAAAATAACTGCTCTGGAAACTAGTACATCATAATTAGTTTTGATAATATGAGATAAAAAATGTTTTTTATAAAATGAGATGAAGATTGGTTTTAATTGGAAAAGATATTTCAAGATACAATCTGAAAAAATGGGTTTTAATTAGTTTAATTGAATGATGTACCTTATCTGAAAGAAATCACATACAATTTCTGTGCATATATTTTACCAGTATAAACATTTTTAGTGCTGGAAAACAATCCAATTATAGTTAAAGAATCAGCATCAACAATGCATACTGCTATTAGCCAGGAGGTGCTTTTCTTTCTTGTTGACAACACATTTTAGTGCTTAAAATTGAGAATAACTGGGGGAGGGGGGAGTTTTAATTTTAAACACGCGGAGGATGGGCAGTAAAGTTGTCCTTAGGCAAATTAATTTTAAGAGAGAATCACATGAAAGTTGAGAATCAGAAAGTGGAAACCCTGATCCTGTCCCTACTCATATACTTTTTTTTTTTGGTACCAGGGATTGAACTCACTTAACTACTAAGCCACATTCCCAGCCCTTTTTTTATATTTTATTTAGAGACAGGGTCTCTCTGAGTTGCTTAGGGCCTTGCTAAATTGCTAAGGCTGGCTTTGAACTTGCCATCCTCCTGTCTCAGCTTCCTGAGCCACTGGGATTACAGGTGTGCACCACTGTGCCCAGCCCTACTCATGTATTTCTTAAAAGATTTCATATACCGGTAGCCTAGTTTGAAGACCATTGTGCTAAACTATCCCCAGCAGGATTGCTCCTGAGCAATGTATTATTGTCTTTGTTGGAATAACTAGTTTATTGTAGTTCACATTTACAAGGGTACAGTGGATGTAGCTCCCACTTTTGAATTTCTGCTAAATGCTCCTATGGTTAATCATGTTTCTGGAAGGGATAATTTTGTTAATAAATGCATACCTATGTTGTCCAGTTTGGGAACCGCAAGTCACATGTGGCTGTTGAACATTTGAAATATGGCTGGTATTAATTGAGATATGCTGTGAGTGTAGATACACAGTAAATTTCAAAGACAGGGCAAACAAAGAATTTGGCTAATATTTTAAATTGGTTACAGGTTGATAATATTTTGGGTATATTGAGCTAAATAGTAAATAACATTAAAATTAATTTCACTTGATTTTTAAACTTTTTAAAATATTGCAACATGAAAATTGAGAGCTGGGGTTGTGGCTCAGTGGTAAAGCACTTGCCTAGCATGTGTGAGGTACTGGGTTCGATCCTTAGCACAACATATAAATAAATGAATAAAATAAAGATCCATCAACAATTAAAAAGAAAATTGAAAATTTTGTATGTGATTCACATTATATGTATTATAAGATAACGCTGGTTGAGAGCTCCTATTGAAAAATCTCTAACTTCCTGTAAAGCTACAAGTATGGAAAAAATTGATTTATTCTCTAATCTAGTCTAGTATATTAGTATTTTGAAATAACCAGTATCTTACTGGTGTTTTGGTTTTTATGTTGGAGAATTTCTTGTTGTGATCAGGTACAAGTAAAAATGAAAAAATATTCCATTAAAGATATTTGAAAAAGAATCTTTAATTAGTAATTAGAAATTTTCCTAGTATGAACTTGGGTAAGCATCTCAGTGATTCCATGTACAGCTTTTCAAACTCTTCAAAATTCCCAGTGCTGGATATTGTAAGTATTTCATTACATCTGAGATTTTTTAAAGGTAATTCTTTTTATGTAACACTGAGAAAAAGATATATTTCCCAGAGAAACTATTATGTAATGCTTTCATGTCTATAGAGTTTTAATTTTATACTCACAGAAAGAGCTTATTTAGACTTATTTATGCATATATATTTATAATTTATCATGATATTTCAATAGCCATGACCAAGTCTATGCATATATAGACAGTGACAACTCCCATTCAGCTGCCTCTTGGCCCATAGTAAGTACAGAATGCCATTGATTCTAATTTCAGAGATGAAAAGATGAAAAAATATGCATCTTAGAATTGATTAAGTACAGTTATTTGTCTCATTTGTCAAAACAAAAGGATCACGGAGGGCAGAAAGCCAGACTCCAAGCCATATCAGCATTGGAGTTTAGACATCAGCAGACATCAGTGAAAATACCCTTTATAAATATTGTATTTAGAAAAAAACAAAACATGGCTCTCATTTAAAATGTCATCATAGACCTCTTTAACATTACATTATACATTTTATCCTTTGATAGCTTTCCCAGCATTCTGTTATTGGTTTCCTGGCTGGGAAGTGGGAAGGTTCTGGAACAATGGGGATGGGTGGATCCATGGCTGGACACAGACTGATTTCTCCACACTGAAAATGTCTAGCATCTCTGCACTGAGAACCACTTAGCACAGTCTTGTATGAGGCTGTGCCTTCAATGGCTGTTTGTTCTTCATAAGTGGGCTGACAAAGGGAGCCTTTTTTCTTGTCATGATTTAGTTTTGTCTTAGCATCATCAATGTATCCTTTCTCAACTGAAGGGCCTAAGAGGGGAAGGGATGGAGATTGAGCTGCTTTCCTTCTTTTGTTTTATATAGTATTTGAAAGGGACAGCAAGATGTATCAGGATTCCACAGGAAGTTTATTATATGACAAATCAGTGAAGTAACAAACCGATTTGTCATCCAAGAATGTGACACATCTCTGATTCTCATAGTACTCTTGATGATG